TTTTGCAAGAATAAGAAATGTTCCAAGGGATGGTTTGGTGCACTTTGTCAGGAAGAAGACATGTTTTGGAGCAGCATTTTAATACAAGACTGGAGATTGATAATACAGATATAATTGTTCCTAGAGAAATTCCTATTAGAATTTTGGGTAAGAAAAAAGAGTATTCTTTTTGTGACTGAGAGATTAAAGCAGAAAAAGATCGATGGGACAAATTGGAAGGTGTGATTTTTAAACAGCAGAGGTTTCTACTGAATTCTGTCCAGAAGGTGAGGGAATTTCTAGAAAAATTCAAAGAGGAATTGGAGGAGACTCAAATGGAGGTATCAGAGGAGACTACACAAAAATTCCAACAGCTGCAACACGAAACTAAAAGGGATGATACTAAACTAAGCACTACAGGTTTTTCCAAATTTTTAGCTTCTTCATTCTTTTTGTTCAGGGTTTTTGTTGTTGTTATTTCCTTGTTTTTAAACCTTTTAAACAATTTGTCAACCACCCAGAGCTGCTGGAAGTTGGGCAGCATAACAAATTAATAAATTATGCAGATTTTATCATACTAGAAAAATTGGAGCCAGTTCAAATGAAGTTCTTCCCAAATCTTCAGATACTGTATAACCAACCTATTTTATAAGCATCCTTACTGACATTTAAATGTAAAGATTTGAAAATCCTGGACAGCTTAGGTCAGCATGTTTTCAGACCTAAAAAACAGTTCACAATAATAAACACTTTATACCAAACCTCTTTTATTTCTACCTTTAATAGGCAACAGGACCTTCCGAGGGAGTAAAGTGATTTTGGGGAAAAGTATGTTCATTTGAGGGAATTAAATAGATAGAAAAACATACTGCTTGCTGGCTTTCCAGGAGCATGCATTTGTGAGGGGAAAATTATTAGTAGCCTTCTATATGTTTTAATGTTAGTTTTGATTGCATTTAATAAAGCAAAGTTAGCTGAAATATGGCCTTTAGGGCAATGTCAGGAAATAAGTAAACTTGCAAGATTAAGCAAACTTGTTGATGGGAAAAGACGTGACAAGGGAAGTATGGTAAAGTCTGGTAAAATTAGCACCAAGGAAGTTATGGTTCAGTTGCTAAACCTAGGAGTCATGTCTGTGGTTTGTGGTTTTTGAAGATAAAAGGGATTGCATCTGAGGGGTCGGTGCCACATGGCTGTCTTACCTGACCGCTTGCTCGTGATGGTCGGCATTGCAATGTGAATCTAAGTAAGTA